CCAGCTCAGCAGGCATAATCACAGTCCTCGACGTCATGCCCTTGTAGTTGTGGATGGTTTCTGGGCTTTCAGACTGCCTCGCAAATGTAAACTAATTAATGCTAAGTAATAATATTACCACTTTCCTGCTGGTAACCCAGCAGACTGCTTGCTCTCTTTCATGTTTTTCCTATGGGCTGAGCAGGCTGCTCCTGCCCGGATGGCTGCAGTGCAGAAAAGCAATGTGATTGTGTACGCGTTTGCCAGGATCCTCACCAGCTGTGTGCTTACAGTTCCACTGCACTAGGAGACCTTGTTTTCCAGATATTTGTCTTTAGAGTTGTACCCGTAGGAGAGTGGTCTATAGCTCATGGGAGATTGATTAGCCCTCCCTCAGGAAGAAGTGGCTCATGGGGAAGGGGGAAGAAAAAAAGCTTTCTATGAAGCGGGAAGTAAATAGAACCAACATAGATGAAAATGCAGCAGGAAAAATGGCTTTGAAAACAGTTCCCTGCCCTAATTTCCTGTGGAAACACATCCTGCCGAACTTCTCAGCTCCCCAGACCTCAGCAGAGATGTAGAAGGCTCCATGCAGTGTAAACTCCCTCTAAAGACTGCTGCTCCTGTTATCGGATGTTCTTTCAGCTCCTCTGAGTCATATATGTGCTGTTGAGCGTGCGAAACCAATTAATGTTACCAACCTTTTTTTTACTTTTTTTTTTTTATTCCGTTGATACTTTCTCCCTTGAAAACTTTTTTTTTCCATTTTCTTCCCCTAAATTCTTAATCCCCCTGCCCCTCCTGCAGTGAACCTAATGTCCTCGATGACTCCCCGAGCCTGGCCACTGAGGGCAGCCTCTCTAGGTACAGTGTGAACACTACCTGTCTGTCAGTGTGTGTGCTGGGAAACGAGCCGTTTCCAACCTCCTGTCTCTTCCCCTCACCTTTTGTCACTCTCTCCATCTCTGTCTCTTGTGGCTCATCGATATTCAGGCCTGCAAGTCAAAGGTGTAGCAACCCACCTTCAGTTTTCAGCTTTGATTGCCAATAACTGTGAGGAGGCTGAGGGGAAGGGGAAGCAGAAGCTGTAGTGAGTGAAGCAGGGACTGGCTGACTAGCCTCCGGGTTTTCCCCTTGTTTAGCAATTGCTTGAAAGGCACGAGAAAGATTATCCACGAGGCATTAGCTGTAGCCTGTTATAAGCATTAGTCTGGAGGCTTATATAAAACAGAGACATCTGTTTTTCCATTCATCTCACAATCCTGTCACCACAAAAGACTTAATAACAATATCAAGCTGTGTTCTTTACCATTCACTAATAAAACTAATTATGGTAAGTCCTGTGCAATATAAGTGCTCTGTGGGTGCTCTGCAACAATTCTCATTATTTTTACAAAGCGTTTCCAATTCTCAAATGTCACCTTAGAAATCCTGCAGGTGGGCACCATTAATATCTATTTAAAACTGCCCTGGAGTTCAGGTCTACCTGTTCCCCATTACCCAAGGACAGGGGAACAAACACAAGGACAGTGTGTCAAATGGGTCTGGAGTGAGCTTAGAAGGGAGGGCTGCACCTTTAACAGCCAGCTCAGTCATGTTAACCATCCTCCCTGTGTTCTGCTGCTGCACTCCCACCTCTCAACACATCCTCCTGAGGCTGGAGAGCTCTCGGTAGTCCCAAGGGCATTTCTGTTTCCTTCCAGGAGAACACGGCCCCTTACATTGGCAGCATGGAGGGTAACACACTGTTTCATTCCTGCACCAGCAGAAGCTGTGGATATGTTGAGTGTGAATGATTTCTATTTTGTTAGCTTGGGTTTAGATGTTGGTAATGGCTTTTTGGGGTGGGGACAGGCTGCTCTGTTCATTTGTTCATTCTCCTCGGCCGACAAAAGGAGAGTCTGTGTGGTGTCACTGAGCTCATCCCATGATTCATGGTGTCCTTTGTGTGCCTGAGCCCTGCTTTGACAGATCAGTCTCTAATTGGTGCTACTGCAGGAGTGGCATTAGGAAAAGACATTGGCCTGTTGGCAGAGGCAGGAATATTGTTACCTGGTTTTGTGATAAAGTGAGATGGATTGCACAGTCACCTGAGCATGTTTGGGGGGCTAAAGAGAACAGAAGTCATTCAATCAAAGAACTTCAGTGTTATCCCTCTAGCAGAACTGAAAGGTCACTGCAGTTGAGGAGGAGGATGAAGAAGAAGGTCTGTATCTGAGTTAAAGCCAAAATGACCTGATACCAGGTTACATCAGTGTTGACTCTGAAACGTTTTGATCTTGTTAAGTGGTGGGGAGTCAATCCTAATTATGGTGGTGAGGCTGAGGAATAGGAGACAGCTAAGTCAATAGATTGTTTCAAACACAGTAATTTATTTTGAACCCTGAAACGTAATCAGCTGCACAATGGGTTCCTACTGATTCCTGTCAAACAACAAATTTTCTCTAGACACCAGGACAATATCCTCCACCCTGCTCTGTGGTACAGAGATCTCCTAAGGCAAACAGGTTAGCAGATGTACTTGGGAGTCAGTTCTGCTGAGGTTTATTATCCTTCTCAGGGAAAAGGCACTAACATCTGAAGGAGGGACAGCAGAGCTGCAAAACGCTAGAAGGAATGAAGACTGTAAATGTGTTTAAAAAGGCTAGGTTAGAGCTCTGTGAGGAGGAAAAGATGCTTCAACAGCATCGTTAAATGCACAAATTGGATTTCTCCTCTGAAGGACAGCAATAATAAACCAGATGTTGTAGGAGCTCACTGTGCTGTGGGGATCACACAGGACAAAATTAATGTGTTTTTACATTCAGGAACATCAGTTTTGAACAAAGCAGGCTTGAGTTTTCCTTATGTAACTTTGATTTCAGCTGGAGCACAACGGTAACTGTTTAGGATTGCCTTCTGAATTCAAAAGCTGATGTTTAGTCATAACTGACATAAAGAAAGCAACAATATTTACTAGGGACTAGACCCTTACAGAAGGTAGGAATCAAAGAAATTAAACAAATAGTGACAAACACAAAAAAGAATAAAGTCTGATTCCCTTTGTTCTATAGCAGTTAGAGCCAGCCATGTATAAAAGCAGGGGAGACAGGAAGGGGAGAGCACTGAAGTGCTCAGACAGCATGGGGTACAGGGCTGAGGAGCATATGTGTCCAACACTGTGATTTGTTGTGGTTATTATCTGAGAGGAGAAGAGATTTACCCAAATCAGAAAGGAAGAAGCAGGAGAAGACGCTGTAATGGAAATCTATTGCACAAACACATTTCCCTGTAATGTCTGTGGCGGTGCCTATCATAGCTTAATGGTGCCTAACAGGAAAAATCAGAGTGAATCCACATTGCCAGGGCAATCGTAGCAGCAGATCTAATGCTAACTGGGCTGGGATGTGTCTGGAAATACAATACATTTAACCCATTCTCCTCTGCCTTTGTTCACTAATGCTCTCACTCAGATGTTTTGGGACACAAAGTGTGTATGTTCTACCATGATGGCATGTACATCTTTTTAATAGACATTTAAACTCCTGCCTTCCTCTGTCTCTGCTTTGTTTTCTTCCTTCTTTTTTTTTAATCTTTATTTATTTATTTATTTTGCTGCATGGTTTCTTGTAATTCCCTGAGCATCACTTCTGACACTTGCCAACCAGACGAAGTTTGTTTTGGCCCCCACTGTGTGACTGCACTGGCTGTCATTCCTTGAAGTGCTGGCAACATGCATCCACAAAGTTGGGTTGGTTGGATCTTTTGCTCCCCTGTCTCTGCCCTATGTAACGGGAGTAACATTATTGTGCAGACAAACCCCTCAGAGGGATACTCAGAGAGTGACAGAGCATCTTTGTGTTGGCCAGGAAAAAAATCTGGTTTGTTATTCCCAAATAAATCTGAGCTGTTATTCCTAGATAAATCTGGTTTATATTCTGCAGAAAAACTATTCTTATTGATCACATTGCCATGGGAGGGAAACAAACATACTGTCAGCTGAAATGGCATTTGATTCAGTATTCCTTGGCTAGGTCCCATGAGCTGCCAGAAAAACAGTATATTCCTGGTCAGGTCTAGTAAACAAGGAGAGAGAGAAAAGGAGGGAGGACAGGCTGCACAGAGCCAACCCTCTGCCTGCCACACTCACTCTCATGGAAACATCAGCAGTGCTGTTCTTTGTTGTGAAAAGAAACCCTCACAAACCCTCATGAAGGGAAAGGTTATATCTGAAAATTCAGTTACTAATCCAAAATTTCGAGCCTTTATGATTCTCTCTTTCCTTTCCTTCTCCCAAATTTGGGGATAGACTGCAAAAAGACAGCCCCAGCAGGACTGTGCTGTGTGCAGGCAGCTCTGCCAAACTCGGCTGCTCTTGGGTCCACCATTTGCCTGCAACAGATCTCTGCAATTTCAGCTCATAAGATCATCCCAAATTATACCAATTTGTGTAAGGATTCAGTACTGGAAATAAACATCCACCAGCTCATTTAACTCATTTCACTTATGATACAAACCAGGCTGAAAACCCCAGACTCCAGCAGGAAGACACCAAGTCCAGCCTTTCTTCTGCTCACCTACTGTTTGTCTTCAGTGCAAGATTACTCCATGGGAATAGCTTTTTCCTCATGTATAGTCTCTGTGCCCTCACACAGTCCATGTACACCCTTTAACTAATGACTTTTTCAAGGTGTTTTCCTAACACACGTCGAGTGAGTTTGTTTCAGCACTGTAAACAGTGTTTTGTACTGAATATGAGTGTAGTCTTTCAGCTGCAGACATTTGTCTCCTCACTCGTAGAACTGAGTTACCTTTCCTTCATCAGCAATTCTAACAGTATTCTCAAAAGCTAATCCAGTAGAAAATTACTTTTTCAAGACCTTCTCCAGCTAATTCCTACTTCATTCATATACTGGTAACCACTCTAAAAACTTCTAAGAATTCAGAAGAATAAGCTTTTACATAATCTTAGAAACAGAAGGTTAAGGAAATTCTCCAAACTGTAATTTCAGGTAGTCTGGAACACAAATCTAAAGACTAATTTAAGCACAGTCTCTTTGCTTTAATCAGGAGTGATATGTTGCATCTGGACATACCAGTCATATGTGCTGCAGTCATTGTCTGGGTCAAGAACACGCTCCTACTAACAGGAAGTAACTCGGGGGGCTCTGTCATCCCTAGGCAGGTGTTTGCATGGTGTTTAGAATGCTTGGTATGTAAATCATGTCAACACCCTATGGAAAAGCTGGGCTATATATTCCAGGGACTGGTGATCTCATTTGGAAGAGCTATCTGAGGGAGAAAAGGACTCAAATATACCTTGTTTGTTCTGGCTTTGAGCTGCAGAAGCTGTGCCTTTTTTTTTCCAAGCCAGTGCAGCTGTGGTGAGATTGCCGAGGGCATGCCTGGGATTATGAGGCTGTAGTCAGACAACCAGAAGAGAAACAGCTTCAGGGTCCCAAGATGTCTCTCTCCTTGAGGTTGCCCACTGTCTTCCCAGTAGAGCTGGCAGAAACATAGGGATGTGGTTCAGTGCAAAGTCTGGCTTTAGTTTAAGTGACAAGGGAGGAAGGAATGGGACTTTCAGGTAAGGTAACCAGATTTTGCCCCAAAGCAGAGCAGGAAGCTCCCAAATTCTGTTCCACCAAACCTTCTGTGGGCAATTGATAACTTCTGCCAAAGCAAAGAATGAGCTGCTCAGGAGACAGAGCTTTTTAAGCCTCTCCACAGAGATCCTCCATGTCTTGTCTGACCATGTCCTTAGCTTTGTCTTCTTTCTCCACTGCAGCATAGTCAGGCAATAAACTTTCACTGGTGGTGGTACTGAGCAACTCCAGGGAGATCCAAGGGAAACATCTAGAGAAAAGAATGTTGTTTTCCTTTAGATTAAGGCAGGTCAAAGGCAAAATAGATTGCAATACTGACTCTTCAACAGCACATACCAGATAGAGTTGGCAGTTGCTGAAATAGGACCTGTGGCTCAGTGGATTCCAGTCTGGCCTGAAAAAGCAGCTGCCTGAGTTAAATGAAGTCCATCTTAAATGTTACTGGCTATTGCAGACATATGTTTCTCGGACATAGTTCCTTCAGTTAAAGTGTTTTGTGACTGCTAAATGACCAGTTTTTAACTGTTTGGAGGTCTAAAGTGCTTTCATAAAAATGAGGGGAGGGTGAAGTTTTCATACTAAGTAGATTAGCCGGTCAGTCAAATGGCAGAATGAGATAATGAGATGGTAATGTAGCTCGGTATGTCTTATTGCTAAAGATTCTTTCACTGCAGATTTTCAGATACTTTGTGCCAATATAATAAAACCCAAAAAGCTGTGTTTTTATATCTCTATCTATATCTGATTTTTGTTTACTTGTCTCTTTTGTTTGCTAGCCACAAAAAGACTTAAGGCTGCAAGTGTTGAGTGTGGGCCTTTGTTCACATAACTCATGCATCCATTATGTGAATGGATCCTTTGTCACTTTGTGTTTGTTTTTTGTTTGTTGACTTAAATTGAAATTAAAACCAGATGATAAAATTGTGATGAGGCCTTGGAGTCTATTTGGGAGGATTAAAAAAAAGCTTTTACAACACTGTCCTTGAAAAAAGGCAAAGCAAACAAGAAGGCTTTTGAACTAGGATGCTGATGTTCTTGCCTTCACTGATGTGGCAAAGGATGCAGAGAAGTGAGTGCTGCTCAGTGGGATGCATCAATCAATGACTGAAAACTGAAATCTGCAGTTATTTATATTTGGATGCTACCTGTGCGTGGCCAAGTCCTGAATGCCATGACTCCACCTCCCACCCTTTCCTAAGCCCTAGAAGCCACAACCCAACAGACACGTCCCCCCCATCCTTCAAAGACAGTGTTGCTCTTTGAAGTGATTGTGCCATTAGTGGTTGGTCAATCTATTATTTATTTATTTATTTGTTTATTTTAGTCCCAATTGCCAGGACACCTGCTAGTTGCTCAGGGTGCTTCTGTGCTTGGCCTAATGCTGTCAACATCTAACAGGGTGGCAAGTGTGCAGAGCGAGCCAGGACAGCAGAACCTTCTCCTGCAGCAGCCTCTGGGGCGGAAGAGAGGCCTACGGCAGGTGAGAACACAGGCAGCAAACAAACCTTCTCTCTCCTGCTTTGGTTTGGCTTTTCTTGTCTGTGTCTGTTTGGACCCGATTTGTGGATGTGACATGTTCCTTCTATCTAATTTATGTTATACTAGTGCAGTCCCTTGAGTTAGCAGGAGCTGTCGCACAAGGTGTAGCTGTGAGGCCGGACCAATCCCCAAGAGAGGAGGTGCCCTTTGTTTTAAATTCCTCAATCTTGTGCTCTGCAGGTTTTTTTTTAATCTGTTATTAAATGATGGTCATGTAGCCTGCATTGCACTGCATTCAGTGTTGGATCTGAAAAGGCACAAACCCCAGAGGTTCATATGAAGCAATGTCTGAGCCTTGGAACCCTTAAAACACGTATCTGCTAAAAGCAGAATGAGTGGGCATCTAGTGGAACAGACGGTGATGATCGGTTCTCCTTTCAGAGAAGAAGCTGTGCAGTATGTGAACATACATGAACCTAACTCTCTCTTCCAATGTTTAGCTTCGACGACCACTGCTGTCACGTCAGAAAACTCAGACAGAGCCTCGGAGCCGGCACGGAGCTCGGCTTTCCACCACGCGGCGGAGCATCCAGCCCAAGCCGAAACCCTGCGGTAGGGCAGTGCTGCATGGCCAGAAACAGCACTTCTCACTGGAAAGTAGAAGATGCTGTGTTGTTGTTTCAGCTTTAAGCAACAGTATGTTGTTAGTAGCCTATATTAAAGTCCAGTCCCAGCAGCTTTAGCCTTTCTCCAAATAAGTGGATATCCTATCAGAAAATCACTTTCTCAAAACACTATGACGGTTTCTCCAGAGGTTTTCAAGGTGAAACAGGACATGGACAATGAATTATCTTGTCTCTGATAGTTGTGGAGAATTTACAGGACAGGTATCCTCTATCCTTGTTCAAAACCTCCAGATGTGCAAGTTTTGAAGCAGCTATTGAGAGTAAGAGAAAGAAGAAAATGTCCCACCATTCATAAGTTTAGCAGTGCAGAGCTTTAAGGATTGTATATGGAAATGAATGCAGGACTGTTCCAGTCCATGCTGCATGTCTCCAAGAGTCAGCACTGCCAAGCAGAGTATCCTGTACCATCTGAGATGAGCAGTTAGCTTTGGAGGAAGTATCTGGAAGAGCAAAGGTT